ACTTCTGTGCCTTCGTGCTTCGTTCTCTCTACACAGCCATGCTTTGCTCTCTCTTAGAGCCTTGTTACAACTGTCTTCTCTAGTCGGCCTGAAATGCTTGTCTGTCTCCTTCCAGGATTTGTCCTCCTCGTGGACACCTTCATTGGCAGCTGTTGGATGCCTGCTTTCTAGCTGGAGAATGTTGTCAAGGTTTCCATCATGCTAGTTCTATTACACAAGTTCAGACTGAAAAGAAACCGACCATGCATGATATTCACTTACTCACATCCTGTACCAGCATTTCTCAGAGGCTGCTCTGAAGACCTCCTGTATGAAGGTCCTTGGACACGACCCCCACCCCTCAACCCAGGTGTATCCTAATCCCTGGGGGTAGAGCTCCCCAGATAATCACCGCACCTGCAAACTCTTAAAAACAGCTACTCTCTATGTACCTAGTGCAATAAAATAGACTCAGTTTTCTCTATTGCTAAGGTGATGATGGTACTTCTTAAGTGGGGAGGTAGTTCTTAAATGAATAGAACTGATGACAACAAGGGCTTTGGAGTAGGACAGAGCTGGTTTTAAATCTTGGCCCCATCACTTACTCCTTTTCCTGAGCCTCAATCTGCTCATCTGTGAAATGGATGCTAACAGTATGTACCACCCAGGACTGTTGGGGGAATTAAATAAGGTGATTTGATCCTGGCATGTGATAAATGCTCAATAAATGTTAGCTATTATCATTACTGGCTAAACCTGGTTTTTTTGTTTTTTTAACCTTTAAACTGGGGAAATGATAGCATCTACCATCTAGGGTAGGGGTGCAGGGGTTGGCAAACTTTTCCTGTAAAGGGCCAGATAGTAAATATTTGATGTTTTGTGGGCCAGTCTCTGTTACAGCCACTCATTCTGCTGTCATAGTTCAAAAGCACCCATAAATAATACATAAATGAACAAGCGTGGCCAATGTTCCGATAAAACTTTATTTACAAAATCAGGGAGAGGGCTGGCTTTGGCCCATGGCTGTAGCTGGCTAACTCCTCAGCTGGGGTGTTGTGAAGATTAAATGAGATAAGGCTTGTAATGAGCCTAGCACAGTGCCTGGGACAGAGCAGTGACTAAGAGAAAGAATTCTAACGTGTTCCGTATCTGATTTGAGGGCTAGGCTTTGCTCCTTTCTCCAGGGGAAGGAAAGCATCCATGAGCAAGACTTTTCAACAGAGGTATCAGCTCCATCCTCTGCCCCAAGTCAAAGCTAAACATTCATCTCAGCACCTGGAGCCTGGCAGTGCCACCGCCTCCATCCTCCCCCAAGGATGGAGGTAAAATGCCAATCCATGGGGTGTGATTAATTCTCTCTGTCCCACGCTTTGCCCCAGGGTATGTTGCCATTTTCAGCATGTGTCCCACGGAAATCAGGTTGCCCATCTAAACCATGATGTGTGAGAAATGAGGATACTTATATCTGCGGGGCGGTTAACTGCACGCATTCACATCCATAAATGCATTTAACCCTCACCTGAGGCTGTATTATGTGGTTAAGGCAGGCAGTTAAGGGGGGAGAGAGAGAGAGAGGGAGAGAGGGAGAGGGAGAGAGAGGCTAGATTTGAATTCTGCCTCTGCAACATTCTGGTTTTGTGATGTTGGCCAAATCACTTTGCTTCTCTAAGCCTCAGCTACATCTTCTATAACATAGGGATTAAATGAGATGTTACATATAAAGCCTACAGCACAGTGTAGCACATGATAGCTGTTGGATCCCATTTTGCAAAGGAAGAATGTGATGCTAAGAGGTAAAAGGGCTCATTCAAGGTCATGCAGCTGGTGATTGGCCTCAGACCAAGGATCTCTAACTCTGACCCCCAGCTGGTTTTCACCATGTCCCATTGCCCCCGCCCACCGCATCCCACTCATCCCTACCACCCCCAGCTGCTTCCAGGGACTCTTGCTGCTTCCAGCCACGGCTGTGCTCCATGCACAGTGACTAAATCTCTTGGAGACAGTGACATGGCTGTCAGGGAGCTTGTACGCTTGTGACCATTCATCACTGTAGTGGATTAAATAGTGTCCTCCCAAAAGTCATATCCACCCAGAACCTCAGAATGTGACCTTATTTGGAAATAAGGTCTTTGCAGGGAGAATTAAGATGAAGATTGAAATGAGATCATACTGAATTAGGGTGGGCCCTAAGTGCAATGAGACAGTAAAGGACAGAGGAGGATACACAGAGCCACGGGGAAGAAGCCTATGTGAAAACAGAGGCAGAGGTTGGAGTGATGCTGCCACAAGCCAAGGATTGCCAGGAGCCACCAGGATCTGGAAGAGGCAAGGAGGGAGCCTCCCCTAGAGCCTTTGGGGAAAACACAGACCTGCTTCTGGCCTCCAGAACTGTGAAAGAATGAATTCCTGCTGTCCTAAGCCACCCAGTTTGTGGTGATTTGTTGCGACGGCCACAGAAAAGTAAGACACCACGTTCGACCCTAAGATGTGAATGGATAGGGGGGTATCGGACTCAGAATGCCTGTGTGAGGAAGGGGCAGCAATGACGGGGCAAAGAGCATGTGTTTTAGAGGCAGACCTGGGCTCAGCCCCTTCCCTTGCCAGCTTTGAGCTATCTTCCTTATTTACTAAGAAAGAGAACATCCTCGTCCTTCTGGCTTGTGGTGAGGATTAAAAGAGATGGCGTGGCACAGTGGGGTAATAACAAAGGTAATCGTAACCGTTCATCAAGCGTGACATGCCTTGGTTAATTCAATCCTCACAACAGCCCAGGGTGGAAGGAGTTAGCAGATGCAGGTGATGTGATGTAGACCTCGGAGTAAAGCAAGAACATTCCTTCCCTACATCTCCTTCTCTACCCATGAAGAGCAGTAGACTACTGCATCCTTCCAAACCCAGCCATTCACTCTGGAAATGTGGCCTAAAGGCACCTCTTAGAGGCACGCGGAGATTGATCTCTGAGAATGCTCATCACAGGGCTGCTTCTTCTAGTGGGGGAAACAGCAAACAACCTAAGTGTCTGGGATTTGGTGAAGTGATTCATGATACAGCCACAAATAGACACCACACAGCCTTTCACACTGCTGCTGGGGAAGAGCATCCAAGGACGTGTGGAAACGCTCGTGAAATGTCATTAAGTGAAAAGAGCAGGTAATAAAATGGTGAGATCCTAACTTTATATTACAAAGACCAGACCTCCATGATGGTATATGTGTGTGTATAACATACGTATAAATATATAGCATCTTTTTTATTTTTTTAAATTTAACTTGGTCCTTTTTTTTTAACTTATTTATTTACTTATTTATTTTTTTATTTATTTATGGCTGCGTTGGGTCTTTGTTTGCTGTGCGTGGGCTTTCTCTAGTTGCGGCGAGCAGGGGCTACTCTTCGTTGCGGTGTGCGAGCTTCTCACTGTGGTGGCTTCTCTTGTTGCGGAGCACAGGCTCTAGGCACATGGGCTTCAGAAGTTGTGGCACGCAGGCTCAGTAGTTGTGGCTCTCGGGCTCTAGAGCGCAGGCTCAGTAGTTGTGGTGCACGGGCTTAGTTGCTCCTCAGCATGTGGGATCTTCCCAGACCAGGGCTTGAAACCATGTCCCCTGCATTGGCAGGCTGATTCTTAACCACTGTGCCACCAGGGAAGCCTGATATATAACATCTAACTACTAACATCTTTGTGTATGTTTTTCCACTCTTTAAAAAAGTATAGATGTGTTTATATATAACATTATATATATAAAACACATGTATAAAACCATATATATTACCCTATATATGCACACTACCTATATAATATATATAATCACATAAATTACCATATGTGTGCACTAGAAGAATGTACACCAAGATGTTAGCGGCAATATATGAGGAATTATGTATATACATATATACGCATGCATACGTACTATTATGGATTGAGTGTTTATGTCCCCCACGAATTCATATGTTGGGGCCATAATCCCCAGTGTGGCTGATTTGGAGATGGGAAAATAACTGAGATTAAATGAGGTCATTAAGTGTGGGGCCCTGATCCCATAGGATTAGTGTCCTTATAAGAAGACACACCAGAGAGCTCTCTCTCTGCATGAACACAAAGAATCCATGTGAGTACAGTGAGAAGGTAGCTGTCTACAAGCCATGAATAGAGCTCTCACCAGAAGCTGACCCTGCCAGACCTTGATCTGGGACTTCCAGCCTCCAGAACTGGGAGAAAATAAATGTCTGTAGTTTAAGCTGTTCAGCTTCTGTTGTTTTGTTATGATAGCCCTAGTGAACTAACATACATGCATATATACATACATACATGCAGATATATTTATATATAGGCATATATATAGTGTCTTCCTATATATATGATAATATATATGGCTATATGTATGTGGTGTATATATATGTTTATATATATAGTTTTTTAATATATGGTTTTACTTATATGACAATATATATAACTCTAATTATAAATATAAGATCAGAAGAATGTCCATCAAAATGTGGTTAGTTGTTCCCTCTGGGCAGTGGGGTTATAGGTGACTTTTTACTTTGTTCTCTTTTGCTTATCTGTATTATCTGAATTTTCTACAATAAACCCGTATTATTTCATATTGCTATTACATTACTTAGTATTCCTATAATTATTAATGGTATTGCTAAAATAATTATTATAAACTTTTTTGTGCCTGAAGTTGGCGTCGGGAGAGGGTGAAAAGGCCATGGTCAAAGGGACCAGAGGCTCAGAAGCCGGGACCAGGAAGGTCTGTCAAGGCCATATGTATAACCCTGAACAAGGTTTGGTGACCCCGCCTGAGCCTCCTCTTGCCTTGTAACAGGGTTCCCATGGAAACGTGCTTTCCAGTTTCCAAAGGGCTGGCTCACAAATACACACTTGCAGCACTGGCAGAGATCTGTGTGCCTTCTTGGGGTATGAAGGTTGCTGGGGCAAAGAGGAGGCTGTCCAGAGGGAATTCTTGAAAACTCATGCAGCCTTGGGGTCCTGATGCCTGTGTTTTGTGTCTCCTGCACAGATCAGCTAGACATCATCTCCATGGCAGAGACAACCATGAGGCCAGAGGAGATCGAGCTGGAGATGGTGAAAATCCAGCGTCTCCGGGAAGTCTTGGTCCGGCGGGAGTCTGAGCTCAGGTTTATGTGAGTGCCTGGGGGAGGTGGCGGAGAAAAGGAAGGGGTGTGGAGGGGGAGGACACCGGAGAACCTGACATTTATTGTTTATTGCTGTGTGCCAGGCACCGGGATGAAGGTATTACATACATTCTCACAACCACCTAGAGACGTGGGTATCTATTCCTCTATTTCTTAGTATATAACCATTAGTCAATATATGGCCCTATACAAGATGATTAAATTAGTGCCTGGGTCTTGCTTTCCTGTCTTTTTTCTATTTTTATGCTTCCAATTTTTATTTTTTGTATTCTCAAAGAGCACAGAACTTATATTTTGTTCCAAAACTATAATTAAGCTTTTTACACATTGTTTCTAACATTAAAAACATATCACTAGTGTTTACAGTACACTCCCCGTGTTTTAAAAGGAAGGGAGACAGAGAATGTGAGTTCTTTAAAGTACTGAAGAGCTCCCTTCAGCCTGTGGGTGCTCAGAAGGGCCAAGGTTGCTTTTGTGACGATGGCTGTCACTCAGTGCGCATTTACTGACCTTTGCATGGTGTGTGTGTATGTACATATTATCCCTGCACCTGGCACATGCACAGCAAGTGCTCAGTGACAAGATTAGCTAACACGTAAGCTCTAGCCCTGGGCCAGGCACTGCACTAAGCTCTTGACTTGTGACCTCACTAAATTTCCCCATGTTGCCCGTGAGTCCGACTGCTTAGAGACAAATGTCAACAGTAGACACTTGAATAAATCAAATTATCTAAAACATACAGAAGGATGTCAGTGCAGTCAGGACATATTTTGGGGGCTCAGTGACATACTTCAGGGGAGGGGCTGGCTTCTTGGCCCCCGGAAGTCTTGCTAGCAGCCTGCAGACAGAGGTGGATGATAATGAGGGCTCCCCCCAGGCCCCGCCTTTAGAGTATGTAGCCTTGCCTGGAGGTACACCACCTTGTCAATCTCAGAGACGCATGATGGACTCCAGGATGGCCAGGGTAGAGATCATGGCCCACTCAGACCTGGATAAACACCTCATCAGATGACGATCTGTAGCCTCCCGGGCTAACAGGCTGTGTGTGGACCATTCTTGAATTCAGTTTCCTGGCTCTTTCTCAGAGCCAGGCCCTCACCTTCCTGTAGGGCTGATGGTGCAGGTGGGTCCTATTCTTGCCTCCATTTTAGAGAAGAGGGAATTGGAGGTTAAGAAATTTACCCAAGGTTGCATTAGCTAATAAGTAGCCAAGGTAGGATGCAGTCTGACTCCAGAGTTTTTATTAAGTGAGTGAATAAGTGAAGGAAGGATGGAAAGAGGGAGTGAGGGAAGGAATGAAGGAAGGAGGGAAGCTCTGAATATATCTGCCAAGATAATGCCTTAAAGAGTATAAGCTCCTGAGGGCAGGGATCCTACGTCTCATCTTCACTGTTGGATTTTCCCAGCATCTTCAACAGTGCCCGGCACTTATTAGGCCAATTAGTATTTGTTGAATGTGCAAAAATTGTTCTTTCACACTCCATCCTGACCCCAATAGTTTCCCTTCACACACACACACACACACACACACACACACACACACGAGACCCGTTGGAATAGGGTAAGAGGGAAATAGAATTTCAGACCGTACTAAGCATTTACAGGCTCAGGTGGGGAAACTCGGAGTGACGGGAATGTGACAGCCCTTGACTGAAATAGTCCCAATGACTGTAGCTGTAATAACCAGGGTGAGATTGGTTTTGTCACGCCTGCTGGGAAGTAATCAAGTTAATACCCTCAGCTCCCGTGCAGACTGTATGAGTCAGATCATATTGCATGGCTGAGGGTGTCTTCTCACTTTACCGTCTCCTGCGATGTTGATTCTTTCAAGAATGGGTTTAAAGGCTGCTGTCCCAACACCCCCGACGTTCAGCATTATTCTTTCATGGGTTTCCATTTTCCTGGCCCCTCTCTCTTGCCCTCCCCCTGGGACTCACAGCTTCTGCTTGTTCTGCCTTCCTCTCAGCGTGAACTCATAAGAGTGGGTTCAGGGTCATCCTGGCTCTCTTGCATCCTTGTCTGTGACCCTGGGCACATGACAGGCTTCAAAAGAACTGCTGTTTACCACAGGCACTGTTATACTGTACACGTGCTATGTGTGTTATATGCATTTGCTCACTTATTTTAGCTTTTTGAATCCTCATAAGACCCCTGAGGGAGTGGTTCTATTCGTTCTATTTTATGGATAAGGAAACTGAAGTTAGAGAAGTGAAATAACATTTTCAAGGTCAACAGATAGTATGGGTGGAATTGGGACTTGAACCTGAGGCGTCTGCCTCAGAGGCAGAGCCCTGAACCCTAAGTTAGCCTGTTATTTATTCCCAGCAGAAGGATGCCTTTTCTCTTTGCCTTTTGCTCTTCTAGAATGTGAAGACAAACTCCCGGTTGGATGCCCACAATCCCACAATCCCACATTGGGTTTGGTCTTGTTCTGCGCCATCTTGAATTGAGTCGGGTGGAAACAGAAGTCATTCTATTGAGTCAGGCTTTGGACTTTTTCATACCCTTTCTCTGGAGAGAAGTGATTTATTTGAAGCCTAAAATGTCAAGGTTTTCACGTTCACCTGCTGGGAATTTGACATAGAGCCTTATTCCTCTAAGGGTTCTCAGGGACCTCAAGAGTCAACATTTATAGAACCCTTAGCACAGATCTAGGCCTTGGCTAAGCCCTGTGCACACATTATCACGTAACCTACGAAAAATGCTTGCTAATGGAAGGATGAAGTAGGAGCGCCTCCAGCATACCTGCTCTCCCTAAGGCTCACAAGGTCAGGTTCAGAGAAGGGCTATGAGTGACCCCGGTGGGCATGTGTCTCCACCACACACCCAATGCATCTGCTCTCAATGTCCTCCCTTCGCTTGTCCCCTAGTTTCCAAGTCGCTAACTGGTGTTTAGAGATCTCCCTCTTGAATCTGGCAATTTTACAAGCTTCATTTGGATGAGTCAATAAACCCCTTAGTATCATGAAAACGCCGCTTTAATTGGCGGCAAATGTCCAGGAGGTAAAACTTGAAGCCTGCTTTGTTCCATCCTCGATCCTCCGTGCCACCCACCTCCCAGTCCCTCCCGCTGCTGCCCCATCTCCATGCCTCTCACCATCCTGGCCTGTGGAGGCTGTCAACAACCTCAGACTCATTTTCTCACCCTTAATTCCAGCACTGACTCACACCATTAGCTTTTCATAACCCCTCCTGCAGCTCCGCTGGCCTGCCTCAGCCCTTCCACACCTTCTCTACAAGGCTGGTCCTGCTGTTTATCTGGGTTTCAGATAATTAAGTATTTTCAGAGGTGGGGGGCGGTTATCTTCATTTTACACCCGCTTGCAGGATTGTCATAAAGGGACAGTGGGCTTTGTCTCTCAGCTTGCTCTGGGCGGCGGCAGCTTCTAATTAATGAGTCAGAGCTGCAGCTGTCAGGGGAGATGGGCTTGTGAAGGACAGATTTCAGGAGCACAGTCCTTGAGTTCCAGTATTTCCAGACTCTGGGCTTGGACCCAAGTAACATCATTTTATTAAGAAGGACCAAGTGCGGTGAAGCGGTCGTGCCCTAGAATGTGGCAGAGGTTCAGGGTGTGGTGGTAGAGAGTACATGACTTGTAAACTTTTCAAATACGTGCTATGCTGGGCAGTGTTCTAAGTGTTTTACATGCATTGATCATTTAATCTTTACTGCAACTAGACATACAACATCCTCCCTCCCCATTTTATAGATGAGGAAACGAATGCACAGAGAGGTCAAGTGACTTGCCCCGGGTTGCCCAGGGTCTGTGAAACAGCAGATGGTGATATAACCCTGGCATTCTGAGTCCAGCGTCCGTGATCTCAGCCATGATGCTATAGGGTCTCTCAACTGGTTTTGAACCCCAGTTCTACTTCTTATCGACTCTGGGCCCTGGAGCAAATCTTCTGCCCTGTTGGGAATTCCCTGGTGGTCCAGTGGTTAGGACTCCAGGGTCTCACTGCTGAGGGCCCCAGTTCAATCCCTGGTCAGGGAACTAAAATTCCATAGGCCGTGCCGCGTGGTCAAAAAAAAAAAAGTTTCTTTAAGGGACTTTGCTGGCAGTCCAGTGGTTAAAACTCCGCGCTCCCAATGCAGGGGCCCTGAGCTCGATCCCTGGTCAGGGAACTAGATCCCACATGCTGCAACTGAGATCCAGTGCAGCCAAATAAATATTTTTAAAAAAAGAAAATCTTTTGCCCTGTTCCAGCCTCAGCTTTCCCCTCTTTACAATGGGACATTGATATTTCCCTGGCAGCGCTGTCGCAAGGGATGGAAAGAGAGGACACATGAAAGTGGGTGGCTCTTCCTAGGTAATAAGCACATCAAAATTCCCTTCCCTCCTTTAACTGTTAATAACGTGCTTTGAGGGAGAAGAGAGGAACAGGGCTGCTTCGTTATCTCCAGAGAAGAGCGAGAAAACACCCCTCTCCCCGAGAAGCTGGGGAGTGGCTCTCACCCATCAAGTCCAACTCTATTCTGGGGCCTTGACTTTATTATGGTTGTTGTTATTTAAAAAAAATTTTATACACCTGCATTCTTTATCCCTTTAATGAGCTGATAATTCTGAAGCCTGTTAGGAAAAGCTTCAAGCCAAGGGTGAAATGAAGCATGTGCATTTATGTAACTTGACACTTCTCAGCCACGTTTGGCAGTTTCGAGACACTTTGGATGCACTCTGGGTTTTAAATACCATCTCCTAAGAACAGATCAGCATTGTCAGAGCCACTGTACATATCAGGTGGGAAGAAATGTCTTTAATTGCAAAAGGTCTAAAAAGCAATTTGTCTTGGGCAAAATATACGAGAATTTGAGGAGTTGGGGAAGAAAGGGAGGAAGGAGACCTCGAGGGAAGAGGAAAGGGATGGGGAGGCTAGAGAGGATGGGGAATGTCCCAGGTGAGACCTCTGAATGGAAGGACCCCCCTGAATTTCTAAGTGTTTGGGGAAATAGGGATGAGGTTGGGGATCTGGGCTGATCAAATGGAGAA